CATGTTGCTGTGATTGATAAATTGTTGGATGAACTATTTGGGGCGATCATCTTCTCTAAGATTAACCTGAAATATGGGTACCACCAGATCTGGATGAAGCTAGGGGATGTGCAAGATAGCATTTAGAACCTACGAGGGTCACTACGAGTTCTTCGTGATGCCTTTCGACCTTACCAACGCTCCAACCATTTTTCAGTCCCTCTTAAATTGGGTTTTATGGCCATATCTCATAAAGTTTGTCTTAGTATTTTTTGATGACATCCTGATCTACAGTCGGACGGAGGCAGAACATATGGGACACCTGAGGACATTGTCGGAGACATTGAGGGAGCACTAGCTGTACGCCAACCTAAAGAAGTGTTCATTTGCACAATTATAGGTGAAGTACTTGGGATATGTAGTGAGCAAAGCAGTTTGCAGGGTTAGTAGCAAACGAGTCCAAGATTAAGGCTATGCTAAATTGGCCTTTACCTAATAACCTGAGGGAGTTAAGAGGATTCTTAGGTCTCACTGGGTACTACCAGAACTTTGTGCAAGGGTATGGAACGATCACATGGTTCTTGACTGAGCATTTGAAGAAGGACAATTTCAAGTGGGGGGAGGCGGCTACATAGGCTTTCGAGCAGTTGAAGAAAGCGATGACCAGTGTTAGCACTTCCTAACTTCAACAAGCCATTTTTGGTGAAGATAGATGCATTAGAATATGGACTAGGGACAATGCTCAGCAGGATCAGCGCCCCTATTGCTTGTTTCAGTCTGGTGCTCACAGCCAGGGCAAGACTTAATTCTGTGTACGAGAGGGAACTGGTGGCTATTGTCTTGGTTATTCAGAAGTGGTGACCTTATTTGTTGGGGAGACATGTCCTTGTCAGGATAGATCACAAGAGCCTGAATTATTTGTTGGAACAACAGATGGTTGCGGAGGATCATCAACGATGGTTATCCGAGTTGCTTCGATATGCTTTTGAGATTTGGTACCAACTAGGCTTAGAAAACAAAGCAGCAAACACTTATTAGGAAAGTCGAGGAGACCTAGTTAGCAACATTATCAGTACTTATGATCTTAGATTGGAAAGCTAGGAGAGTGAACAAGATGAAGGATTGGGGAAGATCAAAGTTGATTTGTTGCAGAATCCGAATAGTTATCTTTGTTACACATTGAGGGGAGTCCAACTGCTACATCAGTGGAGATTAGTTCTTCCAGGAGGATCAGAATACATCACCAAGCTATTACAGGAGTTTCATGACAGTACAATTGAAATGTATTCAGGAGCTCAAAAGTCCTACTATCAGTTATCAGCAGAATTATACTTGGTGGGGATTTGCCGCGATGTGGAGAACTGGGTAGCTAGATGCGATATGTGCCAAAGGCACAAGTATTTAGCCATGTCGCCAATAGGATTACTATATCCACTAGCTCTACTAGAGAGGATGTGGGAAGATGTGATGATGTATTTCATCGAGGTGTTGCCACGATTGGAGAGATTTTTGCTGATATTGGTAGTAGTGCATCGTCTGAGTCAATATGTACACTTTATCCCTCAGAAACACTCTTATACCATGGTCACTATGGCTACTATTTTCATACGATAAGTGGTGTGCTTGCATGGATTCCCATAAGCCATTGTGTTAGGCAAGGACAAGGTGTTCCTTAGCCACTTCTGGAGGGAGTTGTTTTGTTTATAAGGAGTAGTTCTTAAGAGAAGTACAACCTACCATTCTCAGACAAATGGCCAGATAGAAGTGTAGAGACCTATTTGAGATGATTTGTATCAAACAAGTCAAAGAGTTGGGCTAGGTGGATTGCGCAGGCTGAATATTTGTATAACACCTCGTATCATTTAGTAGCAAAGATCACTCCCTTAAGGATTCTCTATGGGAGAGATCCACCTCATTTAGTTCGTTATGGGCAGAGCTCTACACTAGTGTCTAATGTAGAGCAATACTTAGAGGAGAGGGACAGGGCATTGTTTGAGCTTAAGGGGAATTTGTTAAGAGCGCAACAGCTTATGAAAAGGAAGGCTAACGAACACAGGAGAGAAGTAAACTTTAAACTATGAGATAGGGTTTACTTAAACTTGAGGTTTTATAGATATAAAATATTATCCAGGATGATGAATGAGAAATTATCCCCACGATACTTTGGACCTTGTGAGGTCTTGAAGCACATTGGAGCAGTAGCCTTTTGATTGAGGCTACCACCCTCGTCAACTTTGCACCCAATTTTTCATGTCTCACAGCTAAGGAAGGCAATAGGAGAGCATACACCATCATCACTACTCCAGACTTTGATAGAGGACTTGAAGGTCATTTTGGAATCCTTGGAAGTAGCAGGAGTGCACAGAGGAGAGACGGGCATAGGAGGTGCTAATCAAGTAGAAGGATATGCTAGAGCACGGTGCCATATTGGAACCATTAAGAGACGATCAGGAGAGAGTTCCTTACCTTCCCACCTTGAGGACAAGGTGCATTTTGGGGAGAGGAGTATAGATACGGGAGGGGGCGGCAGCGGCCTCAGCATGCCGGTCTAGCAGAACCAAGCGGATGGGGCGAGAACAACACGGAATTTGCCCCCCTTGTGGGGCCCATCAAACCTATGATTCCATTTGTGAGGAGAAGGATTATGAAAGGAATTAATGAGGGGATTTGAATTCAAAATAGAGTAGGGAATTAAGGAAAGAGGGCTATTTTAGGGGGAATTAAGGGAGCTTATTTAAGGATATTTAAGGATTATTCTAGGGTTTATGGGGATTATGTGAGATTTGATTTTTTATATAGTTTTTTTATTTGAGGGCATCCTAACGGCGACTAGGTGGTTTGGGAGAGTCTATCTACCTCTCTAATTGTAGATCATTGTATCTTGCTTTTGTTTTGAAGTATTAATTCAAAAAACCAGCCACCATTTCTCAATCCCTTGCAAATTTTATTTCAATTTCTCGCTGATTTCGTTTCCAAGGCATATTAGATCTACTAGTCAAAAGACAATTATAAGATATAATATTTTTGCACAATCCAAATATTCTCTTTTATCTCACTGGACTTCTCCCACTTTCTCTTTCTTCACTCTATTTTTCCTTACCTCTCTTGATTGTGATGGCAACAATTAAAAAACAAGCCCTAAACCATAAAGAAATATTAAGAAACAATAACATCAATCATTATATGCTATGATGCACAGACACGGACACGGCAACATGGACACGACACGGACACGGGACACGTCTTTTTTTGAAAATATAGGACACGGGTACGGCGCGGACACGGCAATACATTTTGTTATATTGTGTATACATGTTAATGTAATATCATATTAAAAATGACAAATACTAATAAATGAATGACATGATAACTTGTCTAGCTTATAATATAAAATATTTAGTACAAAATATCTAGTACAATCATAAAAATATAAGCAAATAATCACTTACTACAACATCAAGCATTCAAGCTTCAACTACTAGGATTAGCTTTAGAGGTTTGTTTTTTGGCCTTCAATATCATCATTATTGAATATCACTACTTTCAACTCTGGTTCAACAAGAGAAAGATTTGTAATTGTGCAAAAAGAGAGGAGATGAAAATACCTTCACTGCCAAAGAGAAATGAAAATGAGAATATTCGATGAATGGGTATTAAATGCAGACGCTGATTTGGTGTTGTGGATATGAAATAAGAAATTTAGTTTAAATATCGCCAAATATAAGAAATTATATTTTAAAAAAATTATAAAATATTTAAGATACGCGTGTCCGACACGCGTGTCCAATTTGTTTTTAATATTTTTTTAATCGGACACGTTTTCGACGTGTCCGAAACGTGTCGGAGTGTCGGACGAGTGTCATGTCGGACACTGCATGCCTCTTTGAGGAGAAGTGTCGGTGCATCATAAATTATATGTATATAATATAATTTACCATATATTTAATACGCCCTTTCTTTTTTCACTTCTTTGTGACATTATACTACCTGAGCTCCTTTGATTGCCTTCGGTATTTCAAAAACAAGCCCTCACCCAGTTGCAGCCAACTCTCCAGAAGCCACCCAGCCAACTGTCCACAACCCATCGACTTCTTTTTGTTATGGCTTCCATTCTTCTTGTCGACTTGCTCTGCTGGCCACCTAGAATCGACCTATGGCTGCTCTCCTTCGCTATCAAGCCTATTGCCTTCACTATCAAGTTTAATTTCTTTATGATTATCGTTGTCCTAAACCACTCCTTTGTTCTTTATTGTTGGTAAAAAAATGTCGTTTCCTTTAATGATTTGGTATCTTCTTTATTTTTAATGTTACACTAAGTATCTCCTATGAATCTCTAAACCTCAATAGGTATCTCATCAGGATATAAAATTATATTTTATATATTTTCTTTAAAGCTAACTTTACATCATTTGTTAGATTAGTTTATAGTATATTTCATGATTTTTGTTTAGTTCGCTCATTTATAAAAGTCCTTTCTCATATTGTAATTCTTTTGTTTATGTCATTTCCACATTCAATTGCTTATACCATTCCCCAGTTATTCAAATTTTCTTGCATTCCTTAAATTTCTTGGAAACATGATTTATTCTTCTTCTAATTACCATGCCTAATTCTCTAGCTTTTCAATTCAAAGTTCCCAAATTCTAATGGTTAAATCCTATTTAGTTCTAGATTCGATCAACTCTTGCCCACTTTTCATCTCAATTAGAGTTAAGTTATATAGCGTCACTTGCAAGGGATGCCCTTCTTTTCTTGGTCTACTCCTCAACATATTTTAATTGTGGTATATCACTTGTGATGAAGTCCTAGCCAACTCTTGTTCATTTCTTACCACAATTAAGCCAAGTCATTATGTATCTTAGTGCTAGCAAATAACTAAATTAGGGTTAATTTTATCGATTTTAGCGTATGTTTTAGATTTACAGTCAATCTAGCATCACCCATCAATACTTCTTATTCATACTTTAGATTGATAATGATGCTTTTATTAAATAATGGTATTGTTTGCATGTTTCATGCAGAATTGCGGATGCCGAGGAAAATCTAGGTGAAAGTGAAGTTCGTGAGGCTCACCTTGCGAAATCGTTGTATTTCATTCGAATTGGTGACAAGGTAATTTGATGATCATGCTGCCCTGATGTTCATCTTTATGTGAGAATGCTTAACGAGCATTTTCCTAAGTGGTTTAGTTTTATCATGTTTTGGAAATCTCTTACTTCAAATTCAGGAGAAAGCGCTTGAGCAACTTAAAGTAACAGAAAGCAAAACAGTTGCAGTTGGCCAGAAGATGGATTTGGTGTTCTACACACTGCAGATTGGTTTTTTCCACATGGACTTTGATTTAATTTCCAGATCACTTGACAAAGCTAAGAAGTATGTGATGGAAAATTTCACTCAGAACATGATTGGCTTTATATGTAGTAGGTTATGATGCTGCACAGTTCTTATATCTTGTTCTTATGGCAGTTTATTTGAGGAGGGAGGTGACTGGGAGAGGAAAAACCGTTTGAAAGTATACGATGGCCTATATTGTATGTCCACCAGGAATTTTAAAAGAGCAGCCAATTTATTTTTAGACTCCATATCAACATTTACGACTTATGAGCTGTTTCCTTATGACACTTTCATCTTCTATACCGTTCTTACAAGCATTATATCACTCGACAGAGTATCACTTAAAGAAAAGGTTAGATACATTACCCATAGATCAGTTTCATCACCTTTTCATTGTTGATTATTTTCATGAATCAAATGACAGGTTGTGGATGCCCCGGAAATCCTTGCAGTGATTGGCAAGATTCCTCATCTAACAGAATTCCTAAATTCTCTCCATGAATGCCAGTACAAATCATTCTTTATTGCTTTCTGTGAGTTCTATATTTATTTTGTCTAGATTTCGGCAATAGCTATTTGCACTTAAATCGGTTATTTAAACATAATTAATGCCTCGGGATTCGTTAAATGGTTTCAACTTTAATTGTATTGAATGACTTTTTTTTGTTTTGACAAATATGAGTGCATGATACTGCTGGATTGGATTGTTTGGAGGATAGAACCCTGGAGTTTTAAGTTAGGCTTAATATAATTATAGATGACTCAGACGGATACCCATCAACCCAAAAGCTTAAACCAATAGGTTAGTGCTGCTATTAATTATATTAGGAGCTTAACTCTTGGTTCACTTCTTGTCTATGCATGAAATATGTTGGGTGTCCTCAAGGTGCTATGTTTGCATAACACTCGAGTCGCTTGGCATTTATCTGAGCGAAATGAGGTACTAAAAAGGAAATAATTTATCTTTTTTAAACTAATTTTAAGTATGATGAATATTCTTACTAAAAGGAAACAAATATCTCTTTTAAACAAATTTTAAGTATGATGAATATTTTTTTAGAGAATGTAGTGATATCATCTCAAGTGGGTGAAATTATGAACTTTTAAGTTCGATTATATTCAAAATTCTTGGTAATATATTATCTTAAACATGTACACTAAATTACTAAAGTTTGTAGTATACTCAGCTTATAAGTAATCTATCTTCCCTACTATTTATCCCATCTTTTCCATCATTCATGTACTCCATTCTATCAATGGGTTTCTTTCCCTTCATCTCTTTCTCTATCTTCTCACATTTATGTTCTTCATCTTCAAAGTTTACTATTTTAGAACTTAAAGTTTTTTACCTACATTTTTTATGTTTGAAGTATTGTTTCCCATGCCTTGAATCAAGGCAAGACACTCCCTTACAACTATGCACCTTAAAGCAAGATGCTTGCCTAGCCATGTCTTTGTAATAGTGCTTGTTTGAAATGTGCGGTGCATTATTGCCTCATCTTTTCTTATTCGTGCGAGTGCCCAGCTTTGAAATAGACTCCACGTTAAGAGAGATAGATGTATTAGATTGGCCTATGTTAAGAGAGATAGAGGTAGACCTAAAAGATTTAGTTAGAAAATATTAGAAATGATTTTTTTTTTATTAGATTTAAATGAGAATTTAACTTTTAACAAGACACGATGGCGAAAAAGGATTCATGTAACCAACTCCACGTAGTGGGATAAAGACTTGTTGTTGTTGTGGTTGTTGTTGTTGAAACACATAAAGATGTTATATAACGAGATGTTAAAGATGATTAGGCATTTTCAACAGATAGCGAAATGTTAGAAATTTAGAGTTGATGTTATCCATGATTTTGCCAAGCGTTCAACTGTTGTCTCATAATTTACTCGTTATGCCGCCTTTCTATCATGCCATAATTTTTGGATGAGGAATTGATGTTGGCATTATCTTTTCTTTTTTCAGCTGGCTTGACCGAGCAGATAAAGCTAGATCGCTATCTCCAACCACATTTTAGGTATTACATGAGGGAGGTCCGGACCGTCGTGTATTCTCAATTTCTCGAATCCTACAAGAGTGTAACCATGGAAGCAATGGCATCCGCATTTGGGGTTTCTGTAGACTTCATTGATCTGTAAGTTCAGTGAGGTTACTTACCTACCACTTCTACACTTTTCAAACTTAAGATACTTCGGCATCACTACATATCTAATTTATGTTGCGGACAATGAAAATAATTACTTCACAAGAGAAGCAAAGAAATAGCTCCCGTTTCATAGAACTGAAAAGCAAATATTGTAATTTCTCCAAGAATAATTTCATCAAAGAAAGTAACAATGAACCAGTGGAAAAACTCAACCGCAGAAAGCTGGAACTGTTTAGCAAATCTCTGAAAGGAAGACATTTTAGTTTCGTTTCGGACGGCTTTCTTTCTGCTTCTTAAAGCAGTTTTTTAGTAAAGCTGTTTTAAAAAGCAGAAAAAAGCCGTCCCAACCGAAACCTTTGTTGGAGTGCTATAATTGATTTACTGACTGCTCTCTCAATCCATATACTATTTTAGGCTTTGTTTGGGAAGGCTTTTTTATTGCTTCTTAAAAAATAATTTTTTTTACTAAAAAATTCTTTTAAGAAGCAGTAAGAAAGCCGTCCCAAACGAAGCCTTAGTTTCTGTATGATATGCATAGTGACATGCTCTCTGTCATGTTTCTTCCAGTGAGTTATCTCGCTTCATAGCGGCTGGGAAGCTTCACTGTAAGATTGATAAGGTTGCAGGAGTTCTGGAGACCAACAGACCTGATGCGAAGAATGCTCTGTATCAAGCAACTATCAAGCAAGGGGATTTCTTATTGAACCGGATCCAAAAACTTTCTCGTGTGATTGATTTGTAAACCTCTGATTGCTCTCCCCCTTTCTATGCGATTGATTGAGAACACATCAAACTTGAATTTTTTCTTCTGTTTTTGTAGTTTTCTTTTTCTGGGAACTATTTCAGTATTCGTCCAGCGACTTCAACTTGTTTTTGCTATTGAAGATTTGGCCTTCTCGTCTTCTTAAAATTCAGCCAAATTTATACCTCAATAGGGGCTGCAACTTCCATTTATTTCCAAATTTGATTGATATGATTTTAAAAATATTTGAATTTAAGTTCAAATGAATGTGGTATGTGAATTCTCTATTAATTTTTATGTTATAAAATTTTATAACTTGTATAGAAATATCAGTCTGATTTCTCAGAAAGTTTTGTTCACTTTTTGAATCTCTTTACCTAATCTCGGAGCTCAAACAAGATCAAAATATTGATATAATAGAAATAAAATTATTATTTGTTTTTTTCTTGGTGTTGTTGCTATTGAAATGATTGTTTTTTTTTTTCTTTTTTTATTTAACATTAGGCATATATAAATTTGATAGGTATGTGTTCATTTTTGTTGGCTAATAAACATTCATAGAGGTAATGGCATAAGTCAATAATTGAATGTTGAAGAATATCAAATAGTGATATTATTATATGGGCCAATTTATAAAAATGGACATGTTTTAAATTTAAATTAGCTTAAGGAATAGGTTAATAAAAAAAATTAAAATGTATAAAATACAAAACTTAATTATCTGGTCTCAATAGAAACAGGAATCAAAATCTCATTATCCGGTTTCTATTGAAACATGAACTTTAATATGCGGTTTCTACTTTAACCTGAAATTGGATTTTACTTCTCCGGTTTCAATAAATTTTTAATGTTACTTATTTTTTTAATGTTATATATATATATTATTGTGGGGTAGAATATACGCGACGATAGAGTTAAAATATTGCGTCTTAGCGTTGTACGAATATCCAGCTCACACATAGAGAACACAATATGTTTTTTTATATGGAAAACCCTGTAAAGGGGAAAAACTACGAGGCCTGGCCTAGTTTGAAATAATTATATTAATGTTTGGGTAGATTACAATAGGCTGACTAGTCCCTGAGGGCGATCAGATTATAAATGTTAATCGTTTTGTTGAAATCTAGTGATAAACGAGAATGAAAGTGAAGCGTCACTTGGTTGACTGATAGAAGTCCGGTGCAACTTGAAAATCTGGGCGCTAATTGGTAGTCTGGTAGAACTCTGAGCCTCAAGTGATGATCCAGCAGAAGTTCGGGCCTCAAGTGGTGGTCTGGCGAAACTTTCGGGCCTTAAGTGGTGGTATGGCGGAAATTTGGGGCCTCAGGTGGTGGTCCGGTGGAACTTCGGGCCCTTATGTGGTGGTATGGTAGAACTCTAAGCGTCATGTGGTGGTTCGACGAAGGTGAGGGTCTCAAGTGGTGGTCTGATGGAGGTGAGGGCCTCAAGTGGTTGTATGACAGAGGTTATGGCCTCTAGTGGTGGTCCGACGGAGCAACGATTTCATGCGGTGGTCCAGCGGAGGCGAGGGTCTGAAGTGGTGGTCCGACGAAGGTGAGAGTCTCAAGTGGTGGTCCAACGGAGGTGAGGGACATGTGGTGGTTTGACGATGGTCGAGGAGGAGAAATGAGACAAGAGCGATATCCGATTTCTCTCTTAAATCCTTTTGCTTGGGGTCCCCTTCTAAGAGAAAAGTGGGCTCTATTTATAGTTTTTTAGGGTGCCATGACCCTTAAACATGTGGGAGATCAATTGCAAATGAGGATTGGTTGGATGGACGAGTTGAATCCCTTGATCATGGACCGATTGATGGATATTTGAATGTCTTAGTGATGTTGGAATTAGGTGATATTGGGCTCGTTGGATTCGTCTCGTTGAGCTGCTTGATTCGACTATAAGCACATTATGTTTGGAAACTGTTTGGTAATCCAAATTATGGTTTGAACCTTCCAACAGTGCTTCTAACCATTGATTTTGGACCCATTTGGGCTCGGATTGGGTCGAATTTGGTGTCGTTGGGTTCGTATTTCTGAGATGTTCAGTTCGACTATAAGTTCACTAAAATCGGACTTCAAATGGTCTCCAATTTAATTTTTGAAGTCTCCAACATGACTTTTGCCTCAAGATCCATGCCCGATCAAGATAATTTTTCAATGATATATATATATATATATATATATATATATTGCTGAGTATAAATTTTTGTCTTATATTTTATTTGAACTAAATGTAAAATGTGATTATGTATTAACAATAAAATAAAATTTATTTTACTTTTTCTTTTTTTATTGACACTGTTTGCTTATTTTTTAATTATAACTTATTAATATATATTTTGAGTTAAATTTAAAATTTTAATTATTTTTAAATAAAATAAGTTTTTATTAATTGTTGTATTTATAGCTTAACTAAATGTGTTAACAGGACAAATGCAAAATTAAAAATCTTGTGAAATTAATTGGATGACCAACTTGTCTCAAAATTTGGAGTGATTATTCCGTCAGGTTACCGAATGCATCCGGAAGCCAATAACAAAACGCCACGTCACTAAAGTACTTGGTACCGTGCTCGATACAGATGCTCAGTACACACTCAGTATGCTCGATATTCTTTGCCGGAGGCAATAAAAATTCGTAAATGAGTGCCGCGGTGAAAACAAGTATCCTAAGCAAAAAACATAAAAGTGTTTTACTTTTTAAAAAAAAAAAAAAAATATTTTAATTTATTCTTTTTATAAATCTGTATTAAAACGGGGGTGGTTGGGGGCACTATTGCAATCTATGAATAGAGTACCGGTCTACATTGAAACCACACAACGAAGTTATGCAGTTTCAATAGAATACGCATAATCAAGTTCCGGTTTCAGGAGTTTGCACGTGCAGTTTGCTGGTTGAGCGAAGCTATTTCCTCCCACTCCTAATTGCAAAAAAAAGGTCTAGTTTCAATTGAATCGATTAATTAAGTTCCGGCTTATGAATACGACTTTTTGTTCTTTGTATTTCTTCTTTTTTATAAATTGGCCTATTATATGCCGTTGACAATGGAATTGGCAGGCCAACCAGCATTAATAAAGAGCATTGAATGGCATTGAAACAATAACTTTTTTAATAATATTTAAAAATTTATTATCTAATAAAAAATTTTTAGAAGAATTTAGATATGTAACACTCAACTTTAATTAATTTACACATTTGCCTCCTAAACTATATCATTAATAATATCCTCTAGCACAAAGACGATTTGACTTGTCGGGTTTGGCCGGTAAATATAAAATTTTAATCTATTTTTAATTTTGATAAGAATATATACATATATTTATATATTGAAATTAATTATAAATTTTGATTATTTTTTCTTCGGATAATTTTTTGAAATTTTAAATGGAAAAATAATATAAATTTCCCGAAGAAAATGAAAAATATACGAATTCGGTTCTCCAAGACAAACCTGTGCGCGTAGAGCGGCGATTCAGGCGTTCGCAGGCACATCGATTTCCGTCTCCCTCATTCTCTCTTCTTCTCCACCTTCAATCGGTTCATTCTCGTTCATCACAGAGCTGATCGGGTCTCGTGCAGGGATGGAATCCATCTATAGTCGAGTAGAATCGTGGATCAAAGATCAGACAGCGAGGATTGGAGTATCCTGGTTGCCCCCGGCGCCGCCGAGATGGCATTGGCCGCGATGGCCTCCGTGGAAGGGCCAACAGGACCGGCGTGAGCAGGAGAGGTTGTTTCGGCAGGAGTACGAGAGGCAGCGGAGACAGCTCCACGATCTGTGCCGCGCTGCCAAAGCCGAATCCATCGCTGATCTCCAAGAAATTCTCTGTTCTATGGTCCTCGCTGAGTGCGTCTACAAGGTCCGTTCCTTCATCCCGTTCTAAGGATTCCATGGAAACTAGGGCGCAGTTCGGTTAGATTCTGCGTTACGGATATCACTTATTAAATGTTTCGGATTGATGTTTTGATTTTTTTTTTTTTCTATTTTTTAATATGTAGAGAGTTGCCGTTTCTGACGTTTATGATGCACTGGATTGACGTGCATTGTGCTAATTCTGTAATACTTGCACTTTGTCGAATCCCCTGAGTACTATATCTTATGAGGACCCTAGTGATTCATTTTAGTTCGGCTTTAAATCTTGAAACATTAACAGTTGGACTGTTAACCTGCTTCCTATCAGCATTTTAATCATAAGAAAATAAATTGTATACTGGTCGTTCCTAAGTGTTAGGGTTTTCCTCTCGATTGGTCCTTAGCTCCGGATTTCTGCAGCCTCATTTGTTTTTTTCATCTCATTTTCTTAGTCTACACGCCACTGCTGTTTTTAAAATGCAGTGCATATCAGTCAATAATGTGTCAGTTATTTACCGCTCTATCGTTTCATTATTGCCTAAAGGAGTACTTTTTTGTTCATTTGGGGCTATCAAGGGAGAATTATGTTTATGAAGTTTGTTCTCATACTTCTTTAAAATGTACATAAACTGTCTGCTATTTATTTGTGCCACTGTAAGCACATGGCGTCAAGTAAAATGTTCTACTGGATAACTAATTTATTACTTTTCATGCATCAGCGGCCTGCAACGGAGATGATACGAGCACTCAACAAGTTCAAGTCTGATTTTGGCGGACAGCTTGTTTCTCTCGAGCGTGTGCAGCACTCCTTGGATCATGTAGCCCATCGGTAATGTCCATGTTGCTGTTGAATTTTGTTAGTTTGTAGTTGGAAAAGGACTGGTCTATAGCTAAATGCTACCATATAGTTAGGCATGTTGACTGTTCATCCATAACACAATACAAATGTATTCGATTTCAGTTGATTTGGGAATTATGATGTGGAAAAAACATGGAATTGGTGGGATAGCATATTTGTTATTTTGAACTCTGTGGTTTCTTGGACTATGCAAAAATTATGGTTTTTTAATGTGATCTAATTAAGAAAAGGAAGCATGCAAGAGTTATGGAGATTTAATCAAAGGAGCAAGAAGTTTTCTTTACCATGCAATGAGTGTTTCGAATCCCTAATTAGAGTTTCTTCTCCATTCAAGTTACTTCTCTTGTGTAGGGGAGAAAATTGGCTAAAACAACCTTCAAATTGAGATGAGGGAGATAGGGCTGATCAACCTCTGTTGGAATTCATGCAAGGGCTGATATGGGCTGTTCTGAATTCCTTGGGATTCATGCTTTTCTGACTTGAGCCATAAATTGGAGAGAATATTACCCAATCCATTGGATATCACAGGCTGTTTGGTAAGAGATAGAAAGAGAGGGAATGAGAAGGGATTTGCTAAAAGAATATTGGTGAGAGAAGGCACTGTCTTCATCTTTTGGTGTTGACTTGATGCTAGTATGGTGGAAGTGGTGTTTTTCTTTAGGAAGTGTGTTCTTGATCCCTTATGGGAATTCTCCGGTTCTTGGCTTAGCTAGCAATCTCCACCACATTTAATGGTGGAGCAATAGGCTAATTGTCTGTAAATCTCTTTCCATCCTTTTACAAGCACATGTTTTTGCTATTTTCCATGGTAAGAAATAAGGATTACTCAAAATCATATGTCCTAAATCCAGTAGTACAATCTTACATGCAATCTCATCAATAATCTCTCTAGAGATAGCAAATCTCATAATACATTGTTTTGACACCCTACAATCAATTATATTATAGATGCAAATTCAAGGATAAGGATTTAGATGCAGGAGAGTGATCTCAAAGTTTTTAATATAACTCCCTAATATCAAATTTGGAAGAATTGTGCAATCTCATCAATAATCTCTCTAGAGATAGCAAATCTCATAATACATTGTTTTGACACCCTACAATCAATTACATTATAGATCCAAATTAGAGGATAAGTATTTGGAAGCAGGAGAGTGATCTCAAAGTTTTTAATGTAACTCCCCAATATCAAAATTTAAAAGAATTGTCTATTTTAATCTCTTAATCAATCAACCAGAGCTTCTATGAATTTATCAATATAAATCAATCTAGTGGAAACAATAAAAAATATATACATCAAATTATATTCATTTCTCAAAATTCATATACAATAATCAATAGTTCAATCCATACATTCATCTGTCTTTCATTTAACTTTTGACTACAAAAGAATAAAACTAAACAAAATAAAACCTAAATTTATAATTTGTCCTCACTCTAGTGGATCATGACCCATTCCTGAAAACATATAAAACTACCGATCAATAAGTTACCAGAACCTAGAATTAAAATCAATGCAAGACAATAGAAATAATGCGCATGTAATCATTTAATTACTATCAGTACGAACATATAATTGTAAAAACATGTAACAACCAATGAAATAGTAACATATCATATGATAAAAAAATATAAGTACAACTAGAGCAGCGATCAGTAACCAATAATCACATACAAATGATCAATAAACTTTATTATTTTTGTACTAATTAGTTATATAACAATTTTTATTTTTGTTCAGGAAATTATGTACCTACATAGTTAAATGCATGCCGTACCATGTTGATGCTACCTATGTATCTCATATCTTATTCCAATGCAGTGTAATATCTCATGTATCTGCATAATCCGTATGTATCATATATACATATATTTAGTTTATGTAATTCATAATCAATGACTCATATGTTATATCACTACAGAAAATTTGTCAATTACCGGCTGATTTTTCCGGCGGCCTAATTTTTCAGAAAAATCACCGGCGGTTTTCCGTTAGCTTTCTGGCCTAATTTTTCGGAAAGTCGTCGGAAATTTTCAAAACCGCCAGAAATTGATCATTTTCAGCCGGAAAATGCCGCCGGTAATCGTTGATTTTCCTGTAATGTATGCTCTTATATCAATTTTATTATATACATGTATCAATCATATCTTGTGTCATATATAAATCATGTCATATCATATTGTTTATGCAATCTATCATATGCAAACATTGTAAGCAAGAAAAGGCATCCAACTATCTTTGATATTTTTCATGTATACAATCATATATGCCAACCATATAAGAATCAATCTCAATCACAAGCCATTTAGGTCAAGTAACTTTCATAGGTTGGCATATCTCCTCATGCCTCCCTTTTCATATCATTTATGATTATACCATAAACCTTATTTTAAAGGAAAGCTCGTTGGCCTACCTTCATGTACAAGGTAACATATTCCAGCCAATCTGAATCAGTCAATCATTTATGGCCAACTTTTCACAACATACATAATATAATAAACATTGATGCTACACTCAATGTTCAATTTAGTGTATCATATTAATACATGTAAAATTTTCATTCTAACTAAAATTAGTGAAATTCATAAAAATATAGCGTACCCTTTTCACGTTTATGTATCTACAATATCTAGATTATAATAATATGCATGTCATATACGCATATATAAAGATTTTAACAATTATTGATCAAATTTTTAAATTTTTCTAAATTACAAAAGTTTGGATATTTCCTCCAAAATATAAAAATATCATGTGAAAATTTAACTTATTCCTGTTAAAATGTTCATATTGACAATATCAATCACATATTAAAAGTTATATGGTGAAATTTTGCTAAAAATCAAGATATCGCAACTTTTATAAGTTTTAACCAAATTAAAATGCATAAAATATAAAATATACAAAATCATTAAAATCCGAGGTAGGGTAATGATAGTTTTACCTTGAGACGAACAACTTTTCTAACAGGACTGTTTGACAAAAATCACTATACTAGAAATCCTCCAAGTTTTGCAACTCCACCAGAAATTCTCCCCCAACCTCCCGTATGGTCCTCACCATGATTTTGAGAGAAATCACAGCTTTAAATAACCTTGCATCTCACTGGATCTCCACCCTCCTTACCTCCACCATCATTTCCATCGTTAGTGCTCCCCAATTGGCCTTGGTGTCTCTGAAGGTCTGCAGTCATTTCATTCTTAGGATGACATTAGTGCTCCCTAACTCCAATGGAAGGAAGTCATCCCTCACTTGGACCATCTACATGGTCATAACCACTCCCCTACACACTCCTTTGCATATCTCCACCTTTCCTTTGCCCAGCATTATCCCGTAGCACTCTGTTTCCACTAGCTTCACCCCTAACTGGTCCACGATCTGGTTGGAGATGAAATTGTGGGTAGCCCCACTTGTAATCAGCTTCACTATCTCCCTGACTGCTATATCTTCTATCACTTTTATGATGTGATTTGAAGTGAATCCCACCATTGAGTTCAAGGAGACCTTCGCCATGTCTAAATGCAACTTTTCTTTCTCGTCCACTGCTGCCTCACTCCCATCTCCCTTAGTTTCCTCGTCATCACAGATGGCGAGAACCTGAAAAGTTCGATCCTTACACCTTACACATGTGCCCCGGTGTATGCCTTTCATCACATCTGAAATATACCCTCTTCACCCTCTTCTCTTGTAATTTCATCTCAATGATCTTCTTGAAGTTTTTCCCAGGTCTCCCTCCTATAGTCTTCTCATTCGGAGTCTCCTTAAAGATACCCTGCATCGGTCCATAGAGTGCCAAAAAGGTGGTCGTAATTCTATACGAACCTCCTGAGCTGCTGCCTCTAGCCCCTATTTCCATGTGCCTCTGATACTTCACTAAATGGGCGAGCTCCATAGCATCTCCCAAATCACGAGGCATTATCACTATAACAATCGCCTAAATCTCTTGTTTGAGTCCTTTAATAAAGTTTTCCTCCAGTACAGTCTTCGAAAGTTGGTCTAGTCGACTGACAAGGTGCTCAAACTGCTCATGGCAGTCCCCTCCCTTGCTGATTTGGAAACGTTCTAACAAACAGTCTTTAAACTCCCTCTAGGTCAATATGGTACAATTCAAATGATTTTCCCTCCAAGCACAGCCCGACCACCATCAGTCTCTCCTCCTCCGTCAACTTATTGATGGCAAAGTACATTTCCACCATGTAGATCCACCCATGTGCATCATCTTCCTTAAAAATAGGCATCTTCAGCTTCCCCATCCTCGGATCTCCCCCCTTTCCCTTGTTTCTTCTATAACCTCCCATTTCTCGAGGGGGTGGTCCTCTCATGTGTCCTGGTCATCCCTTCTACGCTCGTACCCAAACCCTTTGTTAAAATCTCTCATCCTCTTTTCAAATTTTGCAGCCCCCACCCTTTCAAATTCAGCACCCCTTCGTTCATACCCAAATCCCTCATGCCTCTCTCCACATCCTTTATTTGTCTCCTTCCTAGGAATAAGCTTTAGGGGAGACATTCTCTCTTCTCCCAATCTCCACCTTATGATCTTCCCATTTTTTTATTGGATTAGGGTTTTACCCACTCCCTTGATGTTGTTTTGGTTTGGATCTCAATCATCTTCCTCATCATCTCCATGATGGAAAACTTTCCATCCATCTTCTCATGGACGACTGAAATTTGAGTTTCAAAATCTAAAATTTTTTCTTCGAAATCAGATTTCAATTGTTCGATCTCTCTTCTGACACTTCTACCTTTCTTTCTGCTATAGGTACCTGGATCAATGCTCTGATACCAATTTGATAGGAAGTGGATGCATAAATTGAGAAAAACTAGGAAGAAGAACACACCAAAACCCTTTTTATTAAAAAAGATCTATGAAGGAAAACACAATACACAATTGGATCTTCAATTGAAGAGGAAGATACTTCTTCTCAAATCCCTGGCCGCTGGCTAGAGCCTTCTCCACCTAAGCAATTCTAAATTCAGCATAATCAAGGATAAAAACTAAACCTTAGGGTAAACAACCTACTTAAAGCATATAGTCACCTAGAAAATCCCAAAACAGTCATCTCTATTTGAATTTTCCCTCCTAGCCACCCCCTCTTCATTTAAATAATTCCTCTAGGTCCCACCCCAAGGGGACGGAATTTCCGCCTGACATAAACCCTGACCGATCCAGGAGGGACTGGCCCATTCTTGACCGGTCCAAGAGGGTCTGATCCATCTGCATCATAACAAGTATACACCAAAAAGGACCTCTATTTATATATTTGTTTATAATGCCAGCAGATGGGTCCCTTTCATTTACATTTGCAGCCAATTGGATCCTTTACTCTTCCAAAAATATTTTAATGCATCTCTGTTCTTCCTTCTTGTCTTCATCCTCCCTCTCCCTATCTATCTCTACAACCTCACTCAACCCAATTACTTCAGGTCTGATTTCTTTCCTCGTGGTTGGTTTATAGTCTCTCTCTCTCCTTCGTATTCTTTCTGTGTCCATTTTTCTTACTCTCCCTCATTTATCAAAACCACACTAATGGGTTGTGCGTCTCTCTTTAACTAGGAACATTTTACCATGTAAATTGCCCTAGCAAATGAGAGGGGTGAGGTACATATTCTAGGAACTTCTGACCCTTGTAAAGGATCCAATTGCTTGTATGATAAAAAGTGATCCCTCCTAATTGGTTGATTTGATATAACTATCCATGCTTCATGGAAAACTCAAGGGCCCTGCTAGTATTTCAACCAGCTTGTAATCATGCATTATTCCACCATAACCTATTGGGATTTGGCATGGAATAAGAATACTTATATGGAATTTCTGAAATTTGAGTATCATTAAGGCCTAATAATTAGATGTTTTCCAACTTCATGAATTGTTGTTCTTCAATTTTTTCATTCCATGAGTAGCAGCAACATCCCACTTTCTAACCCTTAAAAATTTCCCTTAATTTCTCACATCTCTTTGGTGCACTCACACTTTCTGTTTCCAATCACTTCTCTTATTCTACCTTATGCGTAAGAAGAGATGTGGAAATTTCACTCTACATCTGCTAAGAGAAAGGCTAATGAAGTGAGGTGCAGAATCAGAGGCCCAACCACCATGTACTGGAGGATTAAGAGGCCCTCCTCCGTCATAGCACATGAAGATGAGTGTGGGCTGCCCAATGCATCCTGCAATGCCAATTTTCTTTACCCCCCTTTCTTCTCCCTTCCTCCCTTCCTCCCTTCCTCACTCAGACATAAACATTTGGATATGACTTTCCCATATCAGATTTTTTGGAATTGAATTCTCTAACTATCTATCGATTTTCATAAAACCACCTAATTTTCAATCATTTTCACAAAACAATTTTTATATTCTTTAATTGAAGTTATACGTGTTTTAGTTAATGCATTGTCAGTTTTTGACATAAATAAATAATGTAATTAAGCTCTTATTTATTAGGGCCATTTGGGTTAACTTTTTATCTTTTTTTGTTATGCTTTGATATGAAATAAAATTATATATTGTACCTTAAATATAGGTTATTTTGTTTTTATTTTTATTAATTGTCGTATTAGCCATTTATTTTGGGCTTGGAAGAGGGCAGTGGCACTATGGCTGAACGTTTTAGTGGACCAGACAGAGAAGCAATTAGTTTTGTGGTACTAGGTTGGCTGGTGAGGGATGAAGGGTTCTTCAGCTTTGGCATGGGGTTGATCGATGGCAGGGTGTGGGGGTTGTTTGGCGGCGAGGTGTGGGCAGGATGGGCTGGTGGTTGGAATGGGGTTGGCTAATGACAAGGCCAAGGTTGGCCAGTGTGGTTCGCAAGGTATGGTGGCTGAGAGTTATTGTTTTAAAAATAATAAAAGCACCTAAACATTAGTTTAGATGTTTTTAAAAATTAATTTGATTTATTTTTAATTTGTAAAAGACATAATACTAATCACACATATTTTATCTAAATTTTAAAACAAAAACAAAATACATAAACAACAACAACATCAAGCCTTTATCCCACTATGTGGGTTTGGCTACATGAATCCTTTTTCTCCATTGTGTCCTATTAAAGGTCAAATTCTCGTTTAAATCTAATAAAGAAAGTCATTGCTAATATTTTCTAACCAAGCCTTTTTAGGTCTGCCTCTACCTCTCAACATAAGTCAAATCTAATACCTCTACTCTCCTAACCAGGTCATTGGAAGGCTACCGTTTTATGTGACCAAACCATCTAAGGCGGTTCTCTCTAATCTTATCTTCTGCTTGAGCTACTCCAACCTTTTCACGTATATGCTCATTTCGTATCCTATCTCTAAGGGTTCCGAACATGCCTTAGTCTTCATACATTCTGGTTTAACCTATTATTTACTGGCCAGGGTACTAATAATTCCATAGTTTGAGAACATGCCGCTTGATTTGGACCTAGTGATGTCCACTTAGAGGAATATTTTAGTCTGGGCATCTCTTTGACTGTAAAAGTTTTGGTTTATGACTGATGATGGAGTTATTTCTGGTAATCTGATTGCAACAAATATATTAAGTAAGGTCGATGGAGCGATTCAATATTTGCAGGTGTAGATTATGATGGTGGCAATGATGTTTGCACTCAGAATTTTATTGCTATTTCATTTTTTTTAATTAACAATACATCTTTTGAGTTCTAGAATATTTGACAGAAAGCACCACCTATGAGTCCAAAGAAAAAGCAAAAATTTTGAAACCAAAAACTTACAACAACAACAATAACATCAAGCCTTTATCCCACCATATGGGGCCGACTACATAAATCCTTTTTCTCCATTGTGCCCGGTTAATAGTTAAATTCTCATTTAAATTTAATAAAGAAATGTCATTTCTAATATTTTCTAACCAAGTATTTTTAGGTCTACTTCTACCTTTCTTAACATAAGTCAAATCTAATACATCTATTTTCCTAACCGGGTCATCGGAAGGCTACCGTTTTATGTGACCAAACCAGCTAATGCGACTCTCTCTAATCTTATCTTCGACTTGAGCTACTCCAACATTTTCATGTATATGCTCATTTTGTATCCCGTCTCTAGGAGTAAAGTTACTCATCCACCTGAGCATCCTCATCAAAAACTTATTGGAATAAAATTAAACAGAAAATAAGCGAATCTTGTCTCCAAGTAGATATTATCTTTGGAGGGTATCTTTTGCTAATGTCTGTAGTGTCATCTAGAGTGTCACTCGACTGAGAAGAATGATTGCAACTTTTCCTTGGTCATTGTTATACGAATATTTATTGTACCATGTTAATATGCTAGTTTCTGTACACAATTGTATGAATTTCGTCATGCACCAAGCTTCTTATAATTAGCCAGCTTTGTCTTTTGGCTTCTATTTATAGTTTTCATCTTTTCTTTCAAGGTATCTATTGGCTGAGGCTGGTGATACACTGTTTGCTTCATTTATTGGAACTAAACAGTACAAGTAAGGGTGCTTTCAAAACTGAAATGTTGTTCTCATTGTAGTTAAGAACTACTGGTGTTCATCTTACTTCCCCCCCCCCCCCCCCCCCCCCCCCCTCCCCCGCCCTTCTTGCAGGGATGTTATCACTGATGCTAACTTTTTCCAAGGGGCTATATTCCATGAAGACGATGAAGAAGATTTGGAAGCAGTTGATGTTATGGAAAATGATACAGTTGACAGCCAAGCGAAGATAGAAGTGAATATTCTTAAGTCTTCTAAAGGAAAGCCCAAAAGGCTACAAAAAAATGCAAAGCCTGCTGCACACAGGGTCAGATTGCTGACTTCATGTATTCGTGCTAAATTTCATGATATTTGGATCCAAAAGGGTTACTGTTTTTTTTGGATAGGCTGTTTAAATATCTCTTCAGAAACTACACATCATTCTGATTATCATTTCTCTTTTTTCGATGACAGGGATTCCTTGCCCGTGCTAAAGGAATACCAGCTTTGGAGATTTACAGGCTTGCTCAGAAGAAAAATAGAAACCTTGTTCTTTGTGGGCATTCACTTGGTGGTGCAGTAAGCATTGGAAAATCTCTTTGTTATCTCCATTTCCATGTGTCTACTGAGTTAAAATTTTCACTTTCTTGTTTGTATTGGCAGGTTGCTGCATTGGCCACGCTAGCAATTTTGAGAGTTCTTGCTTCGTCTTCTATATCTCAAGGACATGGGAAAGTTCAAGTAAAGTGCATTACCTTCTCCCAACCACCAGTTGGGAATGCTGCACTGAAAGAGTATGTGTATTTTTGTAAAATCCACATGATATTTTCATATATGATGCTTTTGATTGGGTACTGGAGCTGCTCTTTAACATAAATTTAAAAATTTTAATGACTTATCTCTGTATAGTTTTTGTTCATGGTTGAATCCTTTTCTCTTTTTTTTTTTTTTTCGTTTTTTTTCATTTTTTAATCTCTAATAGAGCCAATTTTTTCTTTTAAGCTATGTTCATCAGAAGGGATGGCAGAAGTATTTTAAGTCTTACTGTATTCCAGAAGATCTGGTGCCACGCTTATTATCTCCTGCCTATTTCCATCACTATAATTCACAGTCTCTTCAATCAACTTCTGATGCAGCTCTTGTTGATGCATCAGTGGTTAATTTTGCCAATAGCACAATGCAATTACAAACACTGAAATCTAAAGGTTCAAGTGGAGAGCAGCTTGTGTTGGGCCTAGGTCCAGTTCAGATGCCATTCTGGAGATTATCTAAGCTGGTTACGTTAGAGGGTGTTCGTAAACATTTAAACATACTTAGAAGAGGAGGGAGTAAAGATGAAAAACCGTCCTCAATTGTTGGTCATAATAGCCCAACTTTACTATTTGCTGAAGCTGAAGCAGAACCGCAGTCCCTTGAGATCCAAGAGGGTGCTGAAGGTATCTCTCTTAAACCAATTTCTGACACACAGACATTGTCTCCTGAAGGAAATAGTAAAACATTTAATGGAAGAAGTGGCGTTGGATCTGGATATACTAGCAGATGGAAGAGGGTTCCTTATTTACCTTCATATGTACCATTTGGTCAGGTAACCAATTTTATCTCTTCTTTTGATATATTCTTCTCCATAACCTTGATTATATATCTCTTTTAAAAGGTGGAAAATAGATGACCTTCATAATTGTTTCCTATCTCCATGTGTACTGTTAGATATTGTGGTTTTTAAAGATCGTATAGGATTTTGTATTTGTTTTTTCTTCACTTTTATCAATTATTTCTGTTCCTGAATCCATGTCTCAATTTTTATGCTGCAGAGTTTTAAATGAGGTACTTATTGCTAGTGATGCATGAAACTACTATGCACATTAATATATAGTGTTTGTTTAATTCAGAGATTTGAGAGGTTAATTTGTTTGCTTTTCTATAACATGGAGGTGACGTGGATAAATATATGAATCGTCTTTCTATTAAACTTCAGTGCTTGTAAACTGCGGCAGTTGTACTTGCAAACAAAAACTCGTTTTCCGAGTTAAAATACACTTGAAGCCTAATTATGCTATTCAGCTCTGAATCCAATTTAACGTTTACAGTAAAAAATGTATATAGAAGTCATCTTTCTATGTTCATTTTGTGGTTTTTGTAGTTAAATTATGGAGAACAAAAAAAAAAAAAAAAGTGTAATAATAATTGTAGAACATGCACAGACTTTTTTTTTTTTTGCTATATTTTCTTATTTAATCAAGTTTATGTTATTTTTTTAACTATGGTCAGGGATACCACTATTGCTTTTGGTGTTCATAAATAACGATCCTTATGCTACTTGCTTTAATATTGAAAGATTAATTAGATAATGGAATGCAAATGATATTGAAAGATGTTATTGGTTGTTTTAATATTTACCAATGTAATAAAACTAGACATTTAACCTGGGCAATGCTTAGGGAGATGAAATACTTCTACTTTACAGCCAAGTAAAGCGTTCGCAAAAAAGAAAACGTAAACTCTAACAGTCTAACTGCTTTATTGGTTAAGGTGTCTAATTTTATTCCAAACTATCTGCCTTCAAATCCCACTTACAAAAATTTTGTTTTACTATTTCATCTGAGATTCTACCACATAGAACGAATTAGAGAGCCAAATGTTACAAAAATAGAAGTCAGTCTTATCTTTAGTATATGTTATATTTTTATCAATTTTGATAATTTTAGGGTTAAAAAAGGGGCTTTGAAGCTCCTGCCAATGTAGCATATGAAAAAAATAAAAAGGAATTGCTGCTTATTAAATTTTATTCCTTATGGTTTGTTTGGTAATTGGCTATCTCAAATAGCTCTCATGAAACATAGGTTCAATATTTCTTCGTTATGATTGAAATTTCAAGCATTGCAAGAAATAAAAGGTTTTTTGTTTGACTTGAAGCGATGAAGCAAATACATGAGGAGATGCTGGTATAAATTGATCTAATATATTTGTAGTACTGTAGTAATCATGAACAAAATTATCTGATGAAGTTCAAAAGCTCTTGGAGGCCGAGTTCATGAGGACTTGCAATATTTGGTGTGAGTTTCTGATGTGGTGATGGTGCAAAAACTAAGGGACAATTGACGGATATTTGTTGACTTCATAAATTTGAATTGGCCTCTTCTTGTTTGTGTAAATGGACAAGGATGCTAGGGTATGATGTTTTTATAGAGTTTATAAGGAGAAGGATTGTGCTTGAGAATTCTTTGAGAAAGAAACAAATAAATGTTTGAAACCTTAAGGGGAATAATCTATCATTCACACCTTGGAGAGGGGAGAGTTGGAAGATACAGATTAAGGGTGCAACGACAAAAACAATAGCATCAAACCTTTATCTCTCTGTGGGGTCGGCTACATGAATCATTTTTCTCCATTGTGTTATGTTAAAAATTAAATTCTCATTTAAATCTAATAAAGAATAGTCATTTCTAATATTTTATAACTAAGTCTTTTTAGGTCTACCTCACCTTTCTTAACATAAGTCAAATATAATACATCTACTTTTATAACCTGGTCATCGGAAGGCTGCCGTTTTTTGTGATCAAACCATCTAAGGCGACTCTCTCTAATCTTATCTTCCACTGAAACTACTCCAATATTTTCACATATATGCTCACTTTGTATCCTCACTCATCCATCTGAGTCCATCTGAGCCCATCTGAGCATCCTCATCTCTACAACACTTAACTTAATATTATGCTTCTTTTTTAATGGCCAACATTCTGCATCATAAAGCATTGCAAGTCTAACCACCATCTTATAGAATTTTTCCTTAAGTTTGAGGGAGACGTTTCTATCACACGACAAGCCCGGTGCATTCCTCCACTTCAACCATCCAATTTGAATTCTACTAATAATATCCCCATCTATTTCACTATCACTTTGAACAATAGACCCAAGATTTCAAAAACGAGTACTCTTATTAATAACTTGATCACCGAAAGTCACAATCCTCCCACTAGAACTACCATTATTAAAATTACACTCAATATATTCAGTTTTAGATCTACTCAAACGAAAGCCATTAGACTCTAAGGTTGACCTCCATAATTCAAGTTTATCTTCAACTCCTCTAGTCTTATGAACAAGAAGAATATCATCAGCAAAAAAACATACACCATGGTACAATCTCTTGCAAATGTCTAGTGAGAATATCCATGACTAAAACAGAAAGATATGGGGTTAAGGCTGATCCTTGATGTAATCCAACTGATATAGGAAAATACTTGGTTAAACCACCTTGTATTTGAACACAAGTAGCAGCTCCTGCATACGTATCCTTAATGATTTGAATATAAGCATTATTAAACCCTTTCTTTTCTAGAACTCTCCATAGCACTTCTATTGGAACTTTATCATATGCTTTCTCTAAATAAATAAATATCATATGTAGATCCTCCTTATTCTCTCTATACTTCTCCATCAAACCTCTCAATAAATGTATAGCTCCATAGTAGACTTACTTGACATGAATCCAAATTGATTTTGAGAAACATTAGTATGACGCTGCAACCTATGCTCTATAAGTCTCTTCCATAGTTTTAAAGTATGACACATTAACTTAATTCCTCTCTAATTCGCATAATCTTGTGCATCACCTTTATTCTTAAAAATAGGAATCAACACACTCATTTTTCACTCTTCTAACATCTTTTTAGTCTTCAAAATAATATTAAAAAGTTTTGTAAGCCAAGAAATTCCTTATCTCCTAAGCATTTTCACACCTCTATTTTAAACTTTATATCTTCGTATTAATTTTTTCTCGTTCTTTTGCCATGTATATTTGCTTTTATGTCTATGTGATATTTTTTAAAATTTCATTAACTTTCTTGAGAAATCTAATTTTTTCCAGCTATTTCTTTTGAGAAACTCATCAGTGGAGCTGCTTTCAGATGCTGAGTACTCTAAATTGTTATCGGTAAGAGGTTCTTTTGCTTTATAATTGGTGATGTGTTGGTCTTCAAATTTTTAAAGATTTTATCACGTGTCATGTTACTTGCGTATTATGAAAATTTGAATTCTAATCTTAAAATTCAACTCTAGCTACTCATTTCATTGCGTTGTCATGGCAAAGGCATCTGCAGGTGAGTTCTGTTATTTCAGAATTGAAGGAACGATTACAGTCACATTCAATGAGGTCATATAGGTTTCGCTTTCACAAGTAAGAATTTGCACTGTTATACTTATATTTTATCCTTCAAGGGTCTACATGTAATATGCTTATTGCATTAATCTAACTTCTTTTTTTTTTTGCGAGTGATTGCATGTCATTAACTTTCTTTCTTCTGGATGTATTGATGCATTTGATCATGATTAAAAGCTTCCTTGTTATATTTGTATGCTTGAGCTATACTTGTTGAAGTTTATAAACGAACTGCTACTCCAACTCAAATTTCTTAGCAATCAATTGTATGAATTAGTATCATCTATAAATTTTTTGATATATTAACATGATAACTTAATATTCTATTGTCAGTAGCATCCTATAATGCTCTTGGTGCATCTGGGACACCTTGATTGCTAGGATGCATGTGCACTAACAGAGGACATGACACGATACAGATACAATAAATCTCTATTATTGAAAATATAGGACACAAACATTTATTGGAAATGACATTTTTAATTTTTATATTTTAAAATTAAAAATAATGCATATAAATTAAATGAAATAAGTATAATAAACCTATAGAGTTGTATTGATTTTCATAGTTTTTTTTATTGCACATTGCACAATACACATAAAAATATATACAAAATATTAAATTGCACAACTTAAACAAATGACAAATAAAATTATATCATGTAATTAAAACTGTATATCCTTTAAAAATTCTATTATTAATGATGTTTCATTTTATAATAAACTTATTGAGTTATATTCAAGACTATTTATTTCGAGGAGTCATCTCCATTCACTTGATTATTTAGTATTTATTTGGATGATCTTGGGGGCTTTGGCATCGAGAGAAGAGGATTTCAATTGTCACCTCGTATGTTTTGGAGTTAGCTTTCGTGTCAAGAAGCAAAAGAATGTAAGTTGTCACTTTGTAATCAAGCTTTAGCATTGAGAGGGGGGAGAAAATAGGGAGACAAGTATGTGAGAGTTGAGGTTAGGAAGCTGATGGTTGTATTCATAATTTTGGCATGGTTGGTCTAAACTCTAACCAAACGTGCTAGAAAGAAAAACATCGGGTGGGAAGATTTATGAGAGAAATGTTAGAGATGAAAATGAAAAATAGAAAAAAAAATGAGCTTTTTTATAAGATTTTAATTAAGTTTTTAGGACACGTGTTCTTTTTTTTTTTTTAACTAGACACATGCCATGCACTTATTCATGTCCGATATGTGTCGGACACTGTATATCCCTTAACATGAAGTGTCGGTGCATCATAGTTGATGTGTTTAGACCCATATTATGCTTGAATGCGAATTTAATGTTCATTTGAAATCTCTTTACATGTAGTGCCTCTAAAGGGCTTTTGATTTGTTGATATCTTTATTTTCATGCTATCTTGATAAATTATGTCATTGATTCTTCATTGACATCCTCAGCTTACAGTAATTAGCTCTTAGATTAAGCGGAAATAGTCATAATCTAATTTTTAGCCAAATAATCGGTAATCCAGTAATTTTGCAAACTTGTCAATATGATGCATGCAGAATCTGGTGCCACGGACTTTCTAGAATTTTCTTGGTGCATCCCTTATCCAAATCCACCAAGTAGATTAACGGTTAACTCCCTTGAATGAATGGGTCGACAAGGAAACTTTTTCGGCCATATGATATTTGGTGCTTAGGAAGAACAAAATAGCTTAGATTGCAGTTAAGCATAGAGTAATGCTAATCTACCCAAGCTGTTAACTAAACTTACATATTATATATGAGTGTTTATTCTTTGCTAAGGTTTAGAGAAACCCTTGGGGGGGGGGGGGGTCAAATACCTTTTGCATGGGTACGACGGGGGAGGGAGAGATCTTCTTCCCCAGGTTACACTTGTTCATGTTCAATTAGATTTAATTCTTTAAGAGATCAAATACGTTTCACGTGGATATGAGACGCTCTTCTCATATTTGACTATAAATGAAGATGTCGTCATTGTAGATAATAACAAAATCCCTCATGAATGGCATGATAATGTCATTTATGACATGCATAAGCGTTGTTGATGGATTGTAGAGATTGAATAACGTCACCATCTACTCAAACAATCTTTTTTTTTCTCAACATGCTTTTCTACATATTTTCTTGTACTTGGATTTAGTGATCTCAATTTCATATCCAATCTTTTAAAAACTAGTGCATGATTCAATCATCTAGCAGGTCATCCATCCTATGAGGATATTGATTCTCCACATGATCTTGTTATGTGCCACTATGCCTATAAGCTATCCATTTTTTTCGACACCATCATGATTTTTGATCGACATTGAGCTGTTTGATTTTATAATTCATTTGTGGGAGATTTTCTTTTCCGAGTTACACTTGTTCAAGTTCAAGTAAATGTAATTCTTTAGGAGATCAAATATATTTTGCATGTGTACTAGATGTTCCTCTCATGTCTCATATTCGACCATAAATGAGGACATGGTCAAGGTAGACACGGGGGGAGGGAGAGATCTTCTTCTCCAGGTTACACTTGTTCATGTTCAATTAGATGTAATTCTTTAGGAGATCAAATACGTAGACGCTCCTCTCATATTTGACTATAAATGAGGATGTCATCATGGTAGACAATAACAAAATCCCTCATGAATGGCATCATAATGTCATTTATGACATGCTTAAGCATTGTTGATGGATTTTAGAGATTGAATAACATCACCATCTACTCAAACAATCTTTTTTTTGTCTCAACGTGGTATTTTACATATCTTCTTGTACTTGGATTTAGTGATCTCAATTTCATATCCAATTTTTTGAAAACTAATGCATGATTCAATCGTGTAGCAGGTCGTCCATCCTGTGAGGATATCGATTCTTCACATGATCTTGTTACGTGCCACTATGCCTATAAGCTAACCATTTTCTTCGACACCATTATGATTTTTGATCCACATTGAGCTGTTTGATTTTATAATTCCTTGGTTTAGCAATTCATCCACTTGTTTCTTAATCTATTCATTTTCCTTCTTAAAGTTTAGATAAATCCCAATGTTGGGTAGTGTAATTTTGAGAGAAGGTTGATCTCATGTTGCATGACTCTTGAAGGAGGCAATCCTCCCATCTCTAAGAAAAGATTTTGGTAGTCTTCCACTAGTTGCTATATTCTTATCTCGCATTCCTCAAGTGCTAGGGCTAGTGCTTTTCCTTTTTCTTCCTCTCAATTCTTCTTGGATTTTTCTCTGGAAGAGGCCCATGCATTTTCATCAAGATTTTCATATTAGACAAATAATATAATGAAATATTTTTACAAACTTATTGTTTTCTTCTCTTGTCTAACTGGGATCATGTTAAAAGTTAAAAATTGACAGTGTATCCTACACCATTCTTGGAGTGACGCTCTTCAATTGAAGAGACCATCTCGGTCATGTATATATGAGCTTGCAAGGATGATCTAGCATATATCGAGAGGAATCACTTAATGTATTACCTCATCAATGTACTCTCTAGTGATGGGAAAGCAACCATGAAGTTGATCAATCCACATTTCTGAGTCCCTTTTGACATCATAGTGGATATGGATGGGATTTGGAGTCATCTTAATACTGATCTTCTAACTAAACTCTCCTCAAACTTGCTGCTTCACTTGGACACTCAAAGTGAATCATTCCCCATGTTCATTAGGCTTAGATGATATTGTTAAATTCAAAGAATTGGAGAGGGAAAATACTTAATTTTATTGCACAAAACTATCCCTATTTATAGATCTATATCTTAATAAATAAGCAAATAATTACAAAATCATGCATAATTGCCTTAATGTAATCCTTTCTAAATCAACCTTCCAAATATGGAAGGAGATCGGCGTGATCTAGTTGAGCCTCCCACATATCCCCATGCTACTCCTGTGATCAAGTGTTAAGGGACGACTTGGATTTAACACCCCCTCTCAAGTTGTGGAATACATTTTTGTCATTCCCAGCTTTGTAATTAGTCTTAGAAAGGTAGAGTTATCAAGTCCTTGGTAAGAATGTTTGCAAGCTGATTTTTTGAAGAGACACGGTATACATATAAGACCACTGTCAAATTTCTCCTTTATGAAATGTTTGTCCAATTTTATGTGCTTGGTCTTGTCATGCTTAAATGAGTATTTGACTTTTAACATGACACAATGGAGAAAAATGATTCCTGTACTCGACCCCACGTAGTGGGACAAAGGCTTGATGTTGTTGTGATCCTGTCATGTTGAATCTATTGTGAGCTATGTTGATTGCTGCTTTATTGTCATAGTGTAGTTTCATGAGTCCTTCATACTCGAGCCTTATATCTTCTAGAATCATCTTGATCCATAGTAGCTTATATATTCCCAAGGCCATAACTCTTTATTCTACTTCTGCACTAGACCTTGCCACCACATTATGTTTCTTGCTTCTTCATGTAACAAAGTTTAGTCCAAGAAATGTGCAATATCCTAAGGTAGATCGTTTATCTACTGGCGGTCTCGCATAATTAGCATCAATATATGCTGATGAGGTTATTCCATGGTCTCTTCTGAAGAGAATCCCTTTAAGGTAGTGCAGTATTCTGTCAACTGCTTACATGTTAGTCTGCTTTGGATTTTGCATGAATTGGTTGATCATGCTTACAACAAATGTTATATCTATTCTAGTGTGGAAAAGATAGATCATTTTCGCACAAGTGTCTGGTAACCTCCCTTATCTACGTTTAGATCCTCTTTAGCTTCCCCCAATTTGAGATTTGATTTTACTGGTGTTGATGCTAGTTTACAAGTTAATTTATCCATTTTTTAAGAAGATCATTAATGTATTTCTGTCGTGAAATGAAAAATTCCTCTGTTAGAGTGAGCCACTTCAATTCCAAAGAAATATTTTAATCTACCAAGTTTTTTGATCTCAAATTCTTTGGTAAGACATTTCCTTAGGTATTGTTCTTCTCCAGGGCCTACATTTCATCTTTTATGACATTTTTCTAATTCTCTTCAGATAAGACTTTATAAATATTATTAGGAATATGAATATCATTTAGTGTGATCAAGAA